AAACCTTAAGGTAAGCGGCAGCATTGAGAGGTGTCGGTTTACTGTGGTGGAGCACATTAGAAGGTTTATACGGAGCACACATGTTATATGCATGTCATCAAGCACGATTTGCTCTGAAGAAAGGAATTTGCACAAGTTTTGGGACTGTAATTAGTTTCACATTTGCTTACAATATTTTTATGTGCATGTGTTTACATATGCTTTTTTAGTTCATATGAAGTTCATATAGGGATTTGAGTTCCAAAGCACTGTTCTTGACATAAAATTGGAATTGCACAATAGATTGGTGTTGATACAACCTTATTTATTGACATTTTTTTTATTTTCATGCATTTATATGCATTTATTGTAATATATACAGGTTGTGTTGGATGTCATATACATTTATCCGGTTATATAGTTTTGCACATTTTTATTTAGTGTTACACATACTGTATTGGCAGTTGCACTGCACTCTTTGATATTAATTTCTATTGGTTGAACGCACAACAGTGATTAGCTGCAACACAAAATATTTATTTTTTCACATATTTGGGTTAGTACGGAGGTTTCCTTTTCATTTGTTTTTTACAGTATCCCTTATCACAACCCCATATAATGAAACTGTACTGCACCCATGACATTATGTAAAAAATAAATGTTCTTCTTAATTTTCCCCCAAAAAATTAACAAAAAGCTACTACTTCAAAAAACTCACCTCTTACTAAATACCTCACACTGTTTAATGTCTAAAAATGTAATTTGAAGAGTCATTTAGAGGGTATTTGTACAGTCCTGGCATTTTAAGAGGCCCAAGAAATTGGATAGAGCATCAGTATATCAGGATTGATAATTTTTTCATATTATATATATATATATATATATATATATATATATATTTATTTATTTTAATTTTTTGGACCTCCCCATGTCAGCCTACCACGGGTCAGCCCCGCCCTCTCTGACCCCTCCAGGACAACCTCTTTCCTAGCCTATAAGTGTGTCTGTCTCCCCTCACTCAGCATTCTTTTCTTTGTCCTCGCTCGCGGACACCTTGGAAAATCTCTCTCCTATGGCCTTCCCAGGTTCAGCTTCTCCTGGGTAAGAAGACCCCTCATTTTGGCTGTAAACCTCCTTGTGCAGTGGGTTCCCTTGGTGCTGGGATTGTTATGCATGTTTTAAAAAATTCTAAGGCGGGGTTACTTACCTGTACATAGATTGGCTGACTTGTAGTCCCATATCTCAGTACATTGGTCCATATCTTAGCAGGTCTGTGGGATGGCTGACACTTGTAGTCCCAGGTCTGTATCTCAGTCCAGGTCTATGGGCTGGCTGACACCTGTAGTCCATATCTCAACAGGTCTGTGGGCTGGCTGACACTTGTAGTTCTTATCTCAGCAGGTCTATGGGCTGGCTGACACTTGTAGTCCATATCTTAGCAGGTTTGTGGTATCAGCAGGTCTGTGGGCTGGCTGACACTTGTAGTCTATATCTCAGCAAGTCTGTGGGCTGGCTGACACTTGTGGTCCATAGCTCAGCAGGTCTGTGGGCTGGCTGACACTTGTGGTCCAAATCTCAGCAGGTCTGTGGGCTGGCTGACACTTGTAGTCTATATCTCAGAAGGTCTGTGGGCTGGCTGGCTGACACTTGTGGTCCATATCTCAGCAGGTCTGTGGACTGGCTGGCATCCGGGGCTAGTAATCCCCACATTCATGGCTGCTGTGTTTGTTCTGGCTACAAAGTAGGCTAGGTGGTACATGTGCTAAGATGGTGGGCGTTGAACTTTCCGGGTTGCCATGGAGCTTATGGGACTCTCTGTGACACAGGAAGCTACTGTGTTATCTAGAGGCTGGCTCTCTCTCATGTTGCAGCTCTGTGGCTACTGCAGAGGCTACGATGTCTCTATGAGCTCCACCTGTTTACCTAATAACTCTACTACTCCAGCCTGGATCTTCTGCTGCTCTGCTCCCTCTAGGTCACCTCAGCTGTTTGACTGTTTACCTTGAATGCGTGCACATTGTAGCAATTGTACGTACAAATATGGATGTGAACATCCATTTTGGTAAAGACCCTCCATCTTGTATCATTTCTCACTCCAAATCAGCTCCCCCCCCTCCCTCTCTGTTCAGTGACACGTGGTCCTTGTGTGCTGGGTTCAGAAGTGCACAGGACACTGTAGCAATCTTGCGCTCAGAGATGGACGCAGTACCACCATTCTGTCAAGGCACATCCATTTGATAAGAGCATACATTTCTCCCTCAATCCTTTATTCTCCTTCCCCCTCCCTTCCTGAAAGGCACAGTGACAGATGTGTGTGTGCTGGTTATGGGTCAACAGCAGGGCAAGGCATCCCTAGTTCAGTGCCGAGCAGTCTGCGAAAGTGTAGCCTTCCTCACCTAAGTCATGATAAGGCAAGTGTTCCTCAGAGAACTGGGAAGCACTGACCCAAGAATCTGTGTAGGCTCACACATCATAAAACAGATAAGGCAGCTTCTCCCAGGAATTGAAAGAGAGTGTAACCTCATAAAACCTAACAGCTTAAGGTGACAGAATTAAATGAACATTCCTCAAGTCAGTTTGTCCCCTGCATTTCATATCATGGATTATGAAGATATTGGTTTTAATTCAGAGTCCGCCCGAGATCCCTCCCTAAACAGAGTATTGGCCAGTTACTCAAAGGCACCCCATTGCTGGGGGACTTTAAAAAGCACAGGCTGTAGGCCTGAGGCTAAGCTAAAAGGTTCTCCTATAATCCCATCGTAACTTAGGGAGACCCTTTGCTCTGAAACTTGGATCTGCTTATGGCTAAGGCTTAATTGGCAAATAACTTTAACCCTTTCACCTCTCTCTGATATCTCTTGCTGTGCTATGCTGTTTTCTGTACATGTATAGATATATATACATCTTAGTTACATCTTCTTTGTAAATATTTCTTTTATTGCACCTGTTTCACTCTTTTAGTAATAAATCTTTCTTTCTGAAAGTGTTTAATTGTTCCTATAGTTCTTAATTGCAATTTACGAATCCCTGCCTTTCAAGAGACGCTACTGTGTGTTTTAATCTCTGTATATCGGGCCTGCAGACTGTGTTATATAGATCATTATTTCAATCATTATAGCGTATTAATTGATAAGGAGACTTTCTCTGTACAAAAAGGGGTGATGGCAGTGAAGGGTTAGTTGCGTAATTAACCCGACCCAGTAACAAGCACATTCAGGCTGCAGGCACAGATTGTAGACCATTAGCTGGACAATCGTCGTGCAGGGCGCAGCTGAGTGTGGCGTTGTTACACACGTCACACCGTGGTTTTAGATCGGCCGGTCCTTCTGTCACGAGTTTGGTGAGAAGGTCTGGGGTCTGACGCCGTGCCTGTGACAGACACAGTTGGATATCCTTCTTGGTTGTAAACCCAATTAGCTGATGCCAGGGTGTCTGGCAAACTCTTGCTCTGAAGCTGATCATAAAGCCATAAATCCAGCAGTCACTGGACTTTAAAAGCATTCCAGGATAGCAGTAAAACATATACCCCACGTGAAAACACTTTTTCATACAATTTCATAATTTCTCATAGGTAATACATACCATAAAGCAAAACATATATTCAGATTGGTCATTTTAATGTGAGGCACCTGATATCTTACACCCCTAGTTAAAGTCTACAGGAGAGTAAGAAGCCATATAGTTTTAGCTGAAATAGTAAATAGTATGGCATATTTGATGTCTGGACGTTCAGGATATTATTCTGCATATTAATCTACTAGTGGCTAGGCTGTTACATGTACCTAGGGAAGGTTATTGACCATGATATTAACTGCAAGGGATTTGGTTTTGGTCATAGCCTGTGTCAGGAATGGACTAGCCAGCAATGGTGGGACTCACCTGCCTTTTGATCTGCAGTACCAGGGCTGGCCAGCGGGTGCTCCCAGCAATCAGAGACTCAACTTTGCAGCCAGCTAACACCTGGAACTGATTATGCTGGGGTATTTAAGGGATGGCCAGACTTGCAGACTCTGCCTTGGTGTTGTGTTTCTCTTGGGCCCTGTATCCTGTTCCTGCTCTCTGTTCCTGTCTGATCCCTCTGCCTGACCCTCTGTACTACGCTGCTTGCTACCTGTTCTGATCCCTGGCTTGTGACCCTGACCATCCTCTCTGCCTGACCCTCTGTACTACGCTGCTTGCTACCTGCTGAACCTGGCCTGTGACCCCGACCAATCTCCGCTTGCTCCCCCTGTACCTACCTGCCCAATTGATATTGACCCGGCCTGCCTGACGACGCTTGCTTGTATGTACTGTTATCTGTGGGTGGTTGGTTTGTTTGCACTGTATTATGTTTAGTATTGCACTGCGTTTATGTTTGTATTGTTAGTGTTAATAAATTATATTGTTTATCACATATCTGAAGTCTGCGTTTCCCTGCGTCAGTCACACACCTCTGGTCACACCTGGGAGCCCTGACAGCCTGAGTTCCCCGCCTAAAACACCACACCCCAAATGAGGTGATTGGTTCTCTGCTTTAAGGAGACACCCTGCTGGGTTCCTAGAAAAAGGCTGTTATGCTTGGAGCAGTAAGTTGAAGAGATCTCCCTTTTAACATCAGGAACCAACTTTGGACTGTGCATGCGCGGCTCAGGGAGCACGCAGCGTGGCGATGGGTGGTGCGCTGTGTCCCTCAGACACAGTGGATCACCGACCATGTAAAGAGCCGAAGATGTCGGCTCGGTCATGTGATCAGCTGTGTCCAATCACAGCTGATCACATGTAAACAGGGAAATGCTGGTTATTGGCATTTCTCTCCTCTTGAGCTGTCACGCTCAGACACTGATGATCAGTGTGCCCTGATGATCAGTGTGGCCCCAGAAGTGCCACCTGTCAGTGCCTTGTGTCAGTTCTCATCAGTGCCTTATGTCAGTGCTCATCAGTGCCTCATGCCAGTGCCCATCAATGCCTACCAGTGCACATCAATGCCACATATCAGTGCCCATCTGAGCTGCCTTTCAGTGTCACCCATCAGTGCCATCAGTGCCAATCAGTGCCACCTATCAGTGCCAGTCAGTGCCGCCTATCAGTGCCAGTCAGTGCTGCCTATCCGTGTGCACCAGTGCTGCCTAACAGTGCCAGTCAATCCTGCCTATCAGTGCCAGTCAGTGCCGCCTATTAGTGCCAGTCAGTGCCGCCTATCAGTGCCATATAACAGTGCCATGTATCAGTGCTGCCTTTCAATGCCCATCAGTGATACCTGTCAATGCCCATCATTGTCACCTACAAGTGCCTCCTCATCAGTGCCCATCACTGCCACCTATCAGTGTCCATCAGTGCAGCCTATCAGTGCCCATCAGTGCAGCCTCATTAGCGCACATCAGTGAAGGAGAGAAATCACTTATTTACACAATTTTATAACAAAAACTAAGAAAAAACTTTTTTTTTCAACATTTTCAGTGGTTTTTGGTTTGTTTAAGAAAAATAAAAAACCCAGAGGTGATTAAATGCCACCAAAAGAAAGCTCTATCTGTCACAAAAAAATTATAAAAATTTCATATGGGTACAATGTTGTATGACCGCGCAATTTTCATTCAAATTGCGACAGCGCTGAAAGCTGGAAATTGGCCTGGGCAGGAAGGGGGTATAAGTGCCCTGTAGGCTGGTAGTTAAACCAAGGCTGATGGCAAGTATTCTAACCTCTCTAAACTTTCTGTTATCTCTCTGTTGTGGTATTGCTCTCTGTATTTATATATATATATATATATATATATATATATATATATTGGCTACATCTTTTTCTGTAAATACTTTTATTGCACCATTTTGACCTTTATTAAATCTTATTTTCTGAAAAGTGTTGAACTGTTTCTAAAGCTCTTTAATGCAAACTCAGAATCCCTGTCTGTGAAGAGTGCTATGGTGTGTTTTAAACCTCTATATACATCTGCCTGCGGTGTCAGTGTGTATACAGACGATTATTCAAACATCATAGTGTTACTGCTAAGAATGGTGAGTTTCCTCTTTCTTTGTACAAAAGGAGGTGGTGGCAGTGTGAAGGGTTAATTGCGTAATTAACCTGTCCCAGTAACAATCGCTCTCAGGTTGCTGTACATAGATTGTGGTCCATTAGCTGGAAAATCTTGTGCAGGGTGCAGCTGAGCGTGGTATTGTTACGCACGTGACAGCGTGGTTTTGATTGGCTAGTCCTGCGGTCACAAGTTGGTGAGAAGGGCTGGGGGTCTGACTCCGCGTCCGTCACACACATGTATTGTGACTCTGAGATGTGGGTTAGGTTATATTCCCCCTTTGGCTGTTGCTAAAGCTGCAGCTTCAAGCACTGAAGATCTAATGGAGAGGTATTTTTTTCTTTTTCTTTTTTATTTGTTATTTTTTATTTTATTTATTTTTTGCTACTTTTTAAAAGAGTGCTATCTGCATACCTTTTTGGCAGAAAGAAGACTCCAGCATGGAATAAAGCATCCGCCAAGAGCTCAGCCCTAAGCAATTCTGTCTCCTGTTGTCCAGGACATGTTGCTTCACCAGAACAGTCCAGGGTGGATTAAACATCCACCAAGTGGTCGTTCTCGGACACCATTACCAGTGGCCCATTGCAGTTGTACGGAAATGGGACCAGGAAAATGTAGTCACCGAAATGCTTCCAAGAAGAGTAAATTCTCTGGCCAGAATAGGAAAAGGTCTTCTACCTCTTCCAGAGCTTCTTTTCCAACCCACTCTGAAGTGGTGGCTTGTTGGGGCTTTTCAGCTGAGGCATTGCCAGGTGAATTGGTGGGCAAATTGGTGTGCACTTCCTATCTTAGGTAGGGGACACATGACAAAGCTGCAGATGCACAGCAAGTAGAATTGTACCTTAGAGACACAGCAAAAAGAGTTCTCCACCCAAAAGAAAAAAATAAAAATATATCAAAGGGATGGCAAATTATGAAAAATAGTTCCCAAAGTAGCCACCTCTTTACAGAGATTGGCCAGACACATAACGCTTCCACTTGAAGGTTTAGTGTCTTTCAGGGATCTAATGGACTGCAATATTGATACAGATCTGAAGAAGATGTATAGTGTGGCAGGACCATCCCCTATGGCCCACAAATTTTGGGTGGCAGAAATGGAGTCCTGTGGTTCGGGAGAAGTGCAATTCTTCAGGATAGCTGTGGACTTCATTGCTGAAGTGGCAGTGGATCTAGTCAGAATGACAGCAAAGTTGATGAAAGCATTGGTCTGCTGACAGTGCCTCTAAACACAGCCTTGGCTTGATTCTGTTTGATGGGAAGCCCTATTTTGTCAAGACCATTAAAGCTGCCATTCAGCAGTTATCCTGTGGGAAGTGAGGCCTTATCCTGCAGGAGAACAGATGGCAACGTCAGTCCTCTCGCTCAGAAGAATCGTTTCAAAGCAGCCAGTGCATACAGGCCTGGAGGGCCATTTTTCAGACATTGGAAGAATGTCAGTGCAGCATTTCCCAAGGGAGTCAAGTGCAAATCAAGCTAGCCAGTTAGGTCTTCTGACAAGGCCTTCAGAAGGAGTCTCCGCCCAGCCCTCTCAAGTACGAGCAAAATCGGCTCTATTCAGGGAGGTCTGGGTGGAGGAAGCGAAGGATGCTTGAATTCTGGATATCATCTGAAGTGGATATCTGCTAGAATTTGCAAAAAGGCCCCTCAGTATTACTTCGGGGGAATTCGGGTACCAATGTGTCTAGATAAACTGAATTATTTGCACGCATATATAAAGGAATTGTTAACAACTTTAAGCTATTTTTCCTGTACCAAGACAAGAATGGGGCAAAGACAAGTGTGGATTTGGCCACCACCTATCTGCGTGCCCCCATGGTTCTGGCTCATTATTGCTTTCTCAGGTCTGCATACAAGGGGCACTTTTCCAGTTCGTTCTTTGCCATTCGGGCTTTGCACCACTCCCAGAACCATCACAAGGCTGCTGTCAGCCATCATAGCTGTTCTGAGACTCAGAGATGGTCTTAAGATATTTCATTACCTCAATGACATCCTTCTCTTGGCCTCGTCAAGGACTCTTCTGATGGCTCACGTGTCTATAACCTGTAACACGCTCAAATGCTTTGGGTGGATAATCAACCATCAAAAGAGTCAACTGCAATCAACACAGTTCCTGCTATATCTTTCTCCCCCAGAAGAAAGTTCAAAAGATCCAGACTCGGATGAGGGAAGTAATGAGCAGGCCTTGCTTATCTGCAAGAGAGTGCATGCAGTACCTGGGCCTTCTGTTATCCACCATCCCAGTTGTTCCTTATGTCAGATGCTGAAGAAGCAAGTTTCAAATCAGTGTCCTTCACTAGTGGGATCATCATGTTTTGAACCAGAAGATCATCATACCAGGTCTGATAGCCCGTTTATTAACTTGGTGGATGATTTTGCACAATCAGAAAGGCAGTGTACCTCTCGAGCCTCCAGAACCAGGCTGGTGGGTTGGGGGAGACTACAGCTTTGGTCAGCAGGTTCAAGGTCATTAGAAGAGGCAGACTACACAGAGTTCCTATCTGCCTAGAGTTAGTAGCTTCCCGATTCACTCTGCTAGCGTTCCAGTATCTGTTACACGGAAAAGTGGTGAGGGTGCTTTCAGAAAAGTGTACTACAGTGGCTTACTTGTCATGTCAAGCTTGCCTCTCATGAAAGTAGCCTGTCAATTCTTCCTTTGAGCAAAGTGAATTTACCCTTTCTTCATACCTCCCAGAAACGGACAACATTAAGGTGGACCAGAGTCAGAGTTTTGTAGATCATGGCGAATGCGGCCTCGATTCAAAATTGTTGTGGAAAAAGCTTGGGCGACACCAAACGTGAATCTGATGGTGACAGCAAGGAACTTCCAGCTACTTCTCCTAATTTGGGACCTGCAAACCTGGGCCAAGATGTCCTTTCCCAGGCCATGGATGTTTCGCTTAGTGCACATCTTTCCTCCAATCCCTCTAATTCTAACGGTTCTCCTGAAGATACAATGTGAAGTGGGGGCAATAATAGCCCTGATCTTTTGGACGAGCCGGCCTTGGTTTCCCCTTGTATAGAGGATAAGGATAGAACAAACAATTCCACTCCCAGTTTGTTTGGATCTCCTGGTTCAGAATGGGGTGTTCTATCTGGACCCCACAAGTCAGAAACTTAATGGCTTGGAAGTTGAGATATAGTCTCTAAGATATCTGGAGCTGTCAAAGGGCGTACTTGACACCTTGTTGCAAGTTAGGGAAGAGTCAACTATTTTGACCTTCCATCAGGTATGGAAGCCTTTCTTTTGGGGCTCTTTCTGTCAAAAATTGGAATGCTTCAACTCCATTGGTATCTAATGTTCTTAAATTCCTGCAACAGTTTAAAAGCGGCCTGGCTTATAATTTATTTCAGATTCAAGTTTCAGTCCTTTCGGCCATGGAAGTAAAAGATGGGCCTTTAACCCTCTGGTCATTCATTTTCTAAAGGCAGCAGTGAAGATTAGATCACTAGTGGGAATTTGTTTGTCACTTGCTTGCTACCCACAACTTTGGATTCCAGTATTTCTGACATGTATGCCTTTTTTAGAGCCATACTGCTGGATCCTCCAAGACAGGGTCATTCTGAGACAGGTCCCAAATTTCTTCCAAAAGATTTCAGCTTCATCCCATATAAGTTGGGAGTCCATACTTTCACCTTTTCTGGAAGATGGGTCAGAGGATGAGTGGAAGAAGTTAGATCTGGTCTGGTTCATTCATTCTCAGTATATCTGAATTGCAAGGAGGATATCCGTGAATTAGTTTTTATACCTTTCATCAAGGTCCAAGGAAGGGCTTCATGGTATTACCCAAGGTCATGTCTTTGTGGATTGTCAAGACCATTCAGATTGTCTACAAAGTCCTAGGCTTGCCACCACCTATAAAAGTGATAGCTAATTCAATGAGAAACTTCTCAGTTTCATGGGCAGCATACGATAAAGTTCCAGCAAAGGTGGTTTGCAGGGCAGCAAGCTGGAGCATGGCAAATGCATTTATTTGCCACCACAGTATGAGTATGGCTTTTCCATCGGTGCAGTCTTTTTTGAATCTACAGTCATTGCAACGGCTGTCAGTAATAGAGGTTTATATGCAGCATTCAGTTTGTTTGTGTCTTGTTTTTTCCCCTCCCTTTGTTCCTTTTGGCATTGCTTGGTACATCCCATGGTAGGCTGACATGGGGAGGTCCAGGAATAGGGAAAATTGTATTCCATACTTACCGTAATTTTCCTTTCCTGGATCCTCCCTATGTCAGCCGGGGGTTCCCACCCACTCTCCGTAAAGAGGAGTTATATGTTGAATGCTGGGTGAGGGGAGACAGCCATGGTTATAGGCTAGGAAAGAGGTTGTCCTGGAGGGGTCAGAGAGGGAGGAGCTGATCCATGGTAGGCTGATATGGGGCTGATCCAGGAAAGGAAAA